CAAATTAAATACAATCTAAATTAATACACGCCGTACAATAAATCAGATTGGAAAAAATATTTAACTTTATAAACCCTCTAGGTCCTGTATGTCGACACTGAATGATTATGCAAATGAAATGAATTTGTCCAATGAGAAAGCGAGGCTAAATACAAGTCGCATCGTTTTTCAGTCAACGAACACTCGTAATTCCGTTTGTGTACAAGGTACGTTTTGTTCTCGTCTGACATTATTATGGCTCGTACCAAGCAAACCGCTCGCAAATCAACCGGTGGTAAGGGTAGCAAAAGTTTACGGAAGAAGTTGGCTGCAAAGGTTGGACGAAAATCGCCTCGTGACAAGTCTGGTGACGTGAAGACTAAACCACATCGCTACAGACCAGGCACAGTCGCTCTTCGTGAAATCCGCCGTTACCAGAAGAGTACAGAGCTGCTGCTTCTAAAAATGCCATTCCAGCGCCTTGTTCGTGAAATCACCGCACAGTTCACCAGTTCTGTCAGGTACCAGTCTGCTGCCATCGGTGCATTACAGGAAGCGGCTGAAGCATATATGGTTGGTTTATTCGAAGACACCAATCTGTGTGCAATCCACGCTAAACGCGTCACCATTATGCCCAAGGATGTTCACCTCGCTCGCCGAATCCGTGGCGGTCCTTAGATACTCGTCATGTACACAGAACAGACTACATTTTCAGGGCCACTAACAATCCACCAACAAGAATATTATTTTGAAGCCGGGACTTATAATGGGGAGCATTTTTCACTACCATTATTTTATTTAAAGGATTTTTTTTTGTAATGCAAATGTCCATTGGTCAGTTTGGCAGTCTTTGTTCAGACATAGCAGACTTGGTTCTATGGATCTCAGTGGACCGCCGGTCATGTAGTTTTTTAAACTCCTAGAATTCGTTTATAGACCAATTTTAAATTAGTCCTTTTCTCTTGAAGCATTTTCCCAGAAGCCCTTGCGAGGGCAAATGGAATATGGAGACAGGCACTCGCGGGTTTATAAAGTTATGTTTTAATCCTAACCACTTCGGTTTGATTTTTTTATGAATCTTAGATGTTAGATAATTATTTTAGTCTGGAGAATGTACAAGCAAGATTCTATTGCGGCTTTCAATCCAATTGTGACTGACCAGATTACCTGCTGTAAAGCTAAGGAGACTTCAAAACTTAAACAATCTATCATCCACATATCATAGATGCACTTGTGTGATGAGCATCCATCAATGTAGCTATGTGATGCAGCATCCATCGATGCATTTGTTATGCAACATCCAGATACAGATATGTGATTCATCATCCACAGAAAGAGAACGTTGTCAATTTGCAACAGTTTTAATTGTTGTCCAGAAACAGAATAATGTAGTTATTGTCATTAATTGGAAGAGTTATCTGAGTATACATTAAATAGAAAATTATCACATTTTACTTGCGCTATTCAGTGTCTTGTATCTCTAATGATCCCTATTCTTGTCTCCGTAAAGGTTGCACATCTAGTATTTAACTTATCATTGTACCATAATTAAATTGTTGCTGTGTTTTTGAACTATGACTGTAGAAGGGGTCTTTATATTGATAGTGATTATGTACTCCAAAATGACCTACTACTGTAGAATACTTTATTTTAGGAATTAATTTTCGCTGAAAAGACTTTTTGGGGCATTTTGTATGGAATTTATTTTTATTGATTTTTGACGAGTTGAATGTGAAATATAGGAGAAAAGGTAAGATCGCTAGATTTTATTTTCACTGAATCATTTCTTCAGTGAAAATAGCCAATATAAAGTATTTTACAGTATTTGCAGGTTGCCATGTGATAAGCCATGCCTGCTACTACCCTATGGATGTACTGGCTGGTTAGTTGAGTCTCTGTTGAGCTGATACTACTTTGTGAGTTTTTCAGTAATTATGACCATGCCAGAGTTTCATATTAGCAAGTGAGCACAGCATCATGTAAGCAATCCTTACACATACAGTAATCAGAGTGAGGGATGCCATGGCAACCTTGTTTTGTGCTTTCATAGTGTCTGGTGTAGGAAACTTTTGGGTGCTCTTGTTAGTTTCTTAGTGTAATATTTTTTCACTAAATTTCATCTACATGAACTTGTATAATCACTAAACTAATTTCGCTGGCAAATAGTAAACTATTTAATTGAATATGAATATATTTAAAATACATAGAAAAAAATTGTGAAATTCAATGGCAGTAAAAATAAATGGTTTTACAGTCAGTACATTGTCCACCAATAGGATTCCTGATCTTATTCAAAATTCAGAACAAAATAAAATGGCGTCTCTAATTTGCATATATTATAATAAACTACCATATTTTCTCTATTAAAAGTGCATCTCCAATATAAGTGTATGTAAATAAAAAATTGCCTGTATATTGAATTGTTAAAATATAGAAATATTACCTGTAATGTAAACGAATGCACTTCTAAATATTTTGTTAAACTGGGCTACTTCATTGTGAATCTTGTGAAAAGAATTGTATTACTACAAAATCATTCCTGACAAGAAGTGGAACAAAAAGTTTATAATATTGCATTATGCTGATACATAGGACAGAGTTGCATTCTAAAATAGTTTACTTTACGTGTCAAATTTTGAGGCAGTTTAGGGTGTTATATTGACAGTTATTGTCTTGACTAATATGCTGCTTGGTTCCAGCTACCTTGGTAGTTTGTGTGTTTTTAGCTCCGCAGTTGTCACAGCAGAGCTGTTCATATTACTGATTGTCAGTCGTCGTCAACTTTACAATTTCAACTTCTTCTTCAAAACTGCAAGTCAGAATGTTTTCAAATTTGATATGCAAGTACCTTGGATGGTTCTTTCTCAGATTTGTTCATTTCATGTCAAAATCTCAAATTCTCTAATTTTGATGAATATTTTTGTCATTTTTGGTAAAAACTGAAATTTTCAACTTCTTGTTAAAAACCACAAGTCTGATTGCTTTAATACTACACATATTGCTCATTTCCTATTGTGCATTGCTAACAGCAGAGCTATCTCAGTCGACAGGCTGCTTGTTACATTACATGGCCAAAAATTTTCAATCAACTATTATTGCTAAATTAAAAGTGGTTGCCATATTTACAACTTTTGTGAAAACACTTGTCTAAATGAAAGTTTTTGAGGTTCTTAATTTCAGATTGCTAACACCATAAACATGTACTATATTTTACTCAACAAATTGTCGCTCTACAAATAGAAAATAGAATAAATCGTAATGTTGCTGTGTTCACTTTTACCTGAGACTTTCACTATGTGAAGCTAAGAAAATGTCATGAAGAAATAAAAAACTCCTGTCAAGTACTGCAACACTCCATCCAGAATTCAAAAGATTGTAACAGAAAAGTCTTACTTTCCCACATCCAATAAACAATTGTTGATATGATATACATTACAGAAATCATACAATCGCTGAATGTATATAGCTAAAATTAATATATCTGTATAACAATAGTAACCCCCCCCCCATGTTAATATTTGGTGTATATATTTTGCGTATGATGTGCAATAGCATTTGTCATAAACAGCAACTCGGCACCTTGATTATAGCGCCCTCTTGTCGTTCATATATGGAAAACTTCAAAATCGGCGTAAAGTGTGTATTAATAAAAACAGAAACTTGCCTATAAACATACAACAGAAAATGTTGACCAATTTTCAAGTAAGCATTATGAATCTGAAAAAATCTCTTTTCTACCTCCATGGTCCCACTGATAATCTGTATCGCATCATCCCATATTAGTCCCACTGATATTTTATGACAGCCTCTTTACGTTAAAATCGCTATATCAGTCCCACTGATAATCTGTTTCGCATCGTCTTATATCAGTCCCACTGATATATTGTATAACAAAGCGACACCGATATTACGATAGCAATGCATCGTGCAATCATTCCGGGTGATATGGATCTTCGTGCCTGGCACCAGCAAATACGATTAGTGATGAGACTTCAAACTCTTTGTATCTGACGGTTCACCAACTGTAGAACAAATACAGCAAGAACAACGAAAGATTGAATTTCACACAACATTCGCACAAAGTCGGTGATGTTTCTAGCACGGTTACGAGAGTCGTGTTTCCACGTGGATCTTTCGGTTTAATGAGCTCTATTTCTTCAATTTAGTGGGCACACACGAAAAGCGAACGAAGATAGCAATACGGACGCAATACTTAGGGACTGGTCATTTTCGCACGGGGGGGGGGGCTGTTTTAAAATTGGATAAAGGGAGGCTATCAATTTTGTTATTTGCAGAAAAAATACAGAATCTACAGATCATTGTAAATTTTTAACTTGAAGTTCATGAACTTTCAAAATTCAAATTTCTACTTTTGTAATATAAAGTTTATTGTATTTTGTAATAGTTAATAAACAACCAATGCATGCACTCAAATAGTTTTTTTTTCTTTGAATAACTCATCAGAATACCAAAGAAGGTAGCAACAAATTAGTATGATATATTTGAAATACAATTTATCATCAATAAAAAATATTAAAACATAACCTGGTATATGAACTATTTGTAACTCTTAAATGTCAATATCACCACCACTATTTCAAAATCACAAGTGTTTTTTAAAAGCATCACTGCTGCCATGACCAACAACACTTTTCATGGATGCCATCATCACATTATCATGGACAACATGGATGCCATCATCACATTATCATGGACAACAATGATGCCATCATCACATTATCATGGACAACATGGATGTCATCATCACATTATCATGGACAACATGGATGCCATCATCACATTATCATGGACAACAATGATGCCATCATCACATTATCATGGACAACATGGATGCCATCATCACATTATCATGGACAACATGGATGCCATCATCACATTATCATGGACAACATGGATGCCATCATCACATTATCATGGACAACATGGATGCCATCATCACATTATCATGGACAACATGGATGCCATCATCACATTATCATGGACAACATGGATGCCATCATCACATTATCATGGACAACATGGATGCCATCATCACATTATCATGGACAACATGGATGCCATCATCACATTATCATGGACAACATGGATGCCATCATCACATTATCATGGACAACATGGATGCCATCATCACCTCATACAAAAATATATTTGGATATTTAGAGTAGTAAACAAATTTCACTTCCGGTCTAGTTATACTATAGTACTATGAATATTTAATATGTGTTGGTTCTTGAATATTTCAGTTTTCTTGTCCTGTACTTCGTTTAGTAATTCCCAGATAATTGCATAAAAACGGATAGTTCGTGATTTTGACACAGAAAATGCCTGGGCTAAATCATTTGCTGAGGGATGGTCGCTTAGATAGACCTATAGACCTAAATGCGCTGAGCAATCAACAAATTACTGTATGTTTGCGGTCTTCAATTTCTGATAACATAAACACGGTTTTCATCATTCGTTTATTATAACACCATTTATAGCGAATGATTATTGTTTCCCTCAAGGTTAAATCGTGTTTTGTACGATGATTTGAAACAGTTTCGCGTGCTTCATGTGTTAATTTGCTTTAAATGGCGTTTTGGGGTTCATCAATGCCGTCGCTGAAATCTTACCGATATCGATTTATACGCTCGTGGTAAGATAGTAATTAGCATAAAAATGTTTTTCACCTTTGTCGTCATTTTTAATTATCCTTGTTATTTCCAACTTCATAGTGAATAAAATTGACCGCAAAATACGCCCATCGAGAAGTGTCTTTGATGGAATGTTTTATATTGCAATTGAGGTATTGCACAGAAAATTAGTAATAATTAATATATATATATATAAGATAAGATAAGATAATTCTTTATTACAACCTTATAGAATGAATTACATATCTATTTTGGTTTATGAAATGCAATAAAGGTGTTAAAATAAACATAACAAGTTAGATATCTAAAATCTACTACAATACAGTTACATGAAATAATGTAAAAAAAAAAAAAATATTAATGACCCATTAGGTGGTTTTCTCTAATGGTATTTGCTGTTTTTATAAATTTGATAAGCTCTGTTAGTAAATATTTGTTGTTTGTATTCAATATATGAATGAATTTTTCTTTGTTTGTACAGTGTTGAAAATTGTTAATTTTCTTTGAAAAATGTGAATATAACAACTCTCTTTCATCTGTGTAAAGTTCACATTTTGTGATGTAATGAATTTCATCCTCAAGTAGGTTGCATTTAGTACATTTTCTGTCTTCTGTTTTTATTTTTGGTCTTTTGTGCCTTCCCATCTTGATGTTTAGTTTATGAGCACTTAGTCTCAATTTTGCTAATAGACCAATGTTTTCTTTATTATCAAGGGTTTTAATGTATGGTTCAGTATTTATATTTTTCTTCAGCAATGTATAAGTTCTTAGTTTTGAATCTGGTCTTTGATTATCTTGGTTCCATTTATAATTGTAATATTCATTCACTTTTTGTTTAAACTGGTCTTTTTTAATTGTTTCTAAATTCTTAATATCATACAGCTGTTTAATTTTATGCAGATTCATT